ACATAAGTTGATAAACAGGAGAGTTGAACAACAACAAAACATTTTGTCCCAGGCAAGTTGCGCTGGGCGAACAGGACAGTTGAACATAACTGGAGCAGAGGACACCTACACATAGGCGCGAGAATTGAACTACTTCAACATCGCCAGTGCCTCGACCTTTCACATGAGTTGATAAACGGAAAAGGTGAACAACAACAACCACGACGACAACAACAACGACAACGACGACAACCACGACGATGACGACAACAACAACAACAACAAGAACAAAAATGACAACAACAACAAAGCCTTTTGTCCCAAGCAAGTTGGGGGAGGTGAACATACAGATCAATCTTCTCATCTCCTAGACATATTGCACAATTTGAGGTACTCCAGCATCGCCTGAAAGAAGCAAAATAGAGCCAGACTAAGAATCAGGTTCACTAAGTTAAACAAGATGAATGTGTTGAAGCTTAAAAGCCTTGAAGTCAAATTTATATCCATGGACAGTTTAGGTCTATGCAGGGGTAAGCTTAAAGCAAGATATTCATATACTGGGAGGATATCTCACTGAGGTTGTAGCACCAACTGTAAACAACCGAAATAAATATTTTTTTTGCATAACACTAACCCAACATTCAAATATCATCTCAACAGTGGGATTGAATAGCCGGCTCGAATAAGAGTACACACTGCTGCCCGCCCTAAACCAAACAGCTGAACAGAGTGGGACACAGATCGCGGTACTATTTCCTATTCCTAATCCTTTATTGCCCTTATTGGTCTATCTGCATTTAAGGAGTTGAAACAAAAGAGGCATCAACCCGCAAGAGGCTCAGATTGATGATAACGGAATTAATCAATCGAATTTGTCAGTCTTGCAAATTACTTGCAGCATAGAGTCTGGACGGAACAACAATCTTGTTTATAACTATAATAGTGCACCCAGTGATCCAAGTGTTCCCACATAACAATTCAGTGAAAGCTTCAAAGCTAAGGTTAGCTTTATACATCATGAACGGCAAAGTTGACAAAAATTCTGAATGTGCAAAACACAAAAGATATAATCATTTGTTTATATGAATAAAATGTAGATGTGCCCGTAATCACAAACAGATGCATGTCTTCCATAAAAAAAATCATATGAGTTCGCAACAACATAAACTGAATGTATCAATTTTCTGGCTGATATGAATCCGTGAATATGGGGATAGGTAGACCTCAGCGGTACAATCAAAATCAGAAGATACAAAATGAACAGACAATATCCATTATCTATACTGCGTTGATGAAAATCCAAAGCCAATTTCAAAGTTTTGATATTTCCAATATTGCTATGGAAGAAAGTTGCAATAAATCGACTTTATTGTTGTAATGGTCCAGCAGGTTTCGTCCCACATAAATGGCTGCCCACTATTGACTGCTTCTATAATTAGATGACAACTATAAATCTCACTAAAAGAGTGAATGATACCACAGAAAGCTCTTGCGTGAAAAAAAAAATCTTAGTAATAATTAAGATCCATCTGGTCAACGTGTTCGGACTCCCTCACCATTATCCCGAACAGATGACAATTGATAAATCATAATAATAAATATTTATAAGCTTACAGCCGAAAGACCTTTTTTTACGGAAGCCCATAGACCTTCATAAGTAGACACAAAAAGATATTATCGCTTAGCAGCACAATGCCATAGGTTCAAATTATGCTACTAACAAATAAAGATAACAACTCAGTCAAAACACACTGTGAACTAATTATTAAGTATATTGTGCTTAGGGTTTTTACAAAGTTAGGGTAGTCGATAGTCATCATTACCAATAGATTACCTAAAATCACACCAATAGATTTTCATAATTGTAATCACACATATCATAACCAATGGATCATCAATAAGTGCTCTTGAACATAGCTGATAAATCTTCATAACTACCAAAGTAGGTCATGACCGATAAATCCCGTAACTACACCTAAAGATCCTTAAGCATCTGATCTGGTAGGTCCTTATTATGATAAACCCCAAATGGTGGATTGCCATAAGTGTAATTAACATTACCTGATAATCAATCTTTTAGACCTTAAATATTATCGACTGATACACATAATATTTGTAACTTCATACTCATTCAATACATAATAGGGGTTTAAGTCCAACAACCCATGATATGTACCTTAACTCCGTATATTGATATATATAGTATCACACGTACGATGATGAATCGCGTAATACACAAAACATCAATTGACCCGGTAGTGCAATCTTTATCTACGTGTACTGATCCATTATATATATATCACGTATAAACAATCGGCCGGCTCCTATTCTGAACTCTATTTCCGTGCAGTGGTTTGATATCATACACACGCAAAAAGAATGTAGGTTCGATACAGATAACCATCCAGCCCGGCTCTATAACATATTCAGAAAATTGTGGGCTCTATTAGTTATTCATATTAATATATCAACATCACGTGCAAATGAGCAACCACTTAAATGATCCAAAGACTAATTTTGCGTAATTATACCACATAAAAGAGTCTTCCCAACTACATCAGGTAGCTTTTAATCTCAGCTTTAATTCTATGTACGGATCTAATAATCAAATAGCAAATATGAGTGGCATGCATATTCATTTCTGAGCTTGTTATCTTATAGATAACATGATAATGCATAAATAATAAATTAAAGATGATTAAAGGTGTTTCCCGCACAATTGCATGGACACTGTGCTAGTTATAATTTAGAAGTAGCTTAAAAAACTTACTTAGATTTAACATGACGCGAAATCAGATATCCAGGAGTGTGTGCGAATCAATTCTTCTTCTTTGTCTTTTGGAAAAATGTATGCTGGAGAAGACTCTCTTTGAACTTGTGAGGAATGACCATCGGCATGTCATCATCATACTTGAACTTAGCTACCAAATTACCCTTCTTGTCACATTGTAGGAGATGGCCACAGCAGCTGACAAGTGAAAGCTTCAAACCTAATGTTAGCTTCATACATCATGAACGGCAAAGCAACTGACAGAAATTCTGAATGTGCAAAACACAAAAGATGTAATCATTTATTTATATGAATAAAATGTAAATGTGTCTGTAATCACAAAAAAATGCGTGTCTTCCATAAAAAAATCATATGAGTTCGCAACAACATAAACTGAATGTATCAATTTTCTGGCTGACATGAATCAGTGAATATGGGGATAAGTAGACCTCAGCGGTACGATCAAAATCAGAAGATACAAAATGAACAGACTATCCATTTTCTATAAGTCCAAAGTCAATTTCAAAGTTTTGATATTTCAATATTGCTAAGCAAGAAAGTTGCAATAAATCGACTTTATTGTTGTAATGGTCCAGCAGGTTTCGTCCCACATAAATGGCTGCCCACTATTAGCTGCTTCTATAATTAGATGACAGCTATAAATCTCACTAAAAGAGTGAATGATACCACAGAAAGCTCTTGCATGAAAAAAATAATTCTTAGTAATAATTAAGATCCATCTGGTCGACGTGTTCAGACCACCTCACCATTATCCTGAACAGACGGCAATTGATAAATCATAATAATAAATATTTATAAGCTTACAACCGAAAGACCATTTTTTTCAGGGAAACCCATAGACCTTTATAAATACACACAAAAATATATTATTGGTTAGCAGCACAATGACATAGGTTCAAAGTGTGCTACTAACAAATAAAGATAATAACTCAGTGAAAACATACTGCAAACTAATTATTAAGTATATTGTGCTTAGGGTTTTTACAAAGTTAGGGTAGTCGATAGTCATCATTATAGTACCTAATAGATTACCTAAAATCACACCAATAAATTGTCATAATTATAACCACACATATCATAACCAATGGATCATCAACAACTGCTCTTGAACATAGGTGATAAATCTTCATAACTACCAAAGTAGGTCATGACCGATAAATTATGTAACTACACCTAAAGATCCTTAGACATCTAATCTGGTAGGTCCTTATTATGATAAACCCCAAATGGTGGATTGCCATAACTGTAATTAACATGATCAGATAATCAATCTTTTAGACCATCATAACTATACCAAAGTAGGTCACGACCGATAAATCATCATAACTATACCAAAGTTATAAATCTTCATAACTATACCAAAGTAGGTCACGACCGATAAATTCCATAACTACACCCTAAAGACCATTAGACATCTGATCTGGTAGGTCCTTATTATGGTGAACCCCAAATGGTAGATTGCCAACTGTAGTTAACATGACCAGATAATCAATCTTTTGGACTTAAATTAAATATTATTGGCTGATACTAGTAATATTTATAACCTTATACTCATTCAATACATAATTGAGGTTTAAGTCCAACAACCCATGATATGTACCTTAACTCCGTATATTGATACATAGTATCACACGTACGATGATGAATCGCATAATACGCAAACCAACAAATGACCCGGTAGTGCCATCTTACGTGTACTGATCAAATATATATAGCCCGTATAAACAATCGGCCGGCTCCTATTCTGAACTTTATTCCAGTGTAGTGATCTGATATCATACACACGCAAAAAAAATGTAGGTCCAATACAGATGACCATGCAGCCCCGCTCTATAACATATTCAGAAAATTCTGGGCTCTATTAGTTATGCATATTAATATATCAATATCATGTGCAAATGACCAACCACGTAATGATCCAAAGACTAATTTTGTGTAATTATACCACATAAAAGAGTCTTCCCAACTACATCAGGTAGCTTTTAATGTCAGCTTTAATTCTACATACCGATCTAGTAATCAAATAGAAAATATGAGTAGCATGCATATTCATTTCTGAGCTTCTGTTCTTATAAATAACATGATAATGCATAAATAATATAATAAAGATGATTAAAGGCGTTTCCCGCACAATTGCATGGACACTGTGCTAGTTATAGTTTAGAAGTAGCATAAAAACTTACTTAGATTTAACATGGCGCGAAATCAGATATCCAGGAGTGGGTACAAATCAATTCTTGTTCTTTGTCTTTTGGAAAAATGTATGCTGGATAAGACTCTCTTTGAACTTGTGAGGAATGACCATCGGCATGTCATCATCATACTTGAACTTAGCTACCAAATTACCCTTCTTGTCACATTGTAGGAGATGGCCGCAGCAGCTGACAAGCACGTCCCCCTCCTCGGAGACAACCTTCGCCCACCAATCACCTTGCTCCTGGAAGCGCCTGATTTCCATCACGGGCAGTTTGATCCGGTACTGGAACGACCAGACATCGTGCTCGGGGTCCTGCAGCACAAAGATGGACATCCCAGTCATGCCATCGTTGCTGGTGGACGCAGCAAGCTTGCCACCCTGGTCAAGCAAGTGCATAACATGGCAGGGGTTCACAGGAGGCGGAATCATTAGCCGCGACGTCTCTGCCACTGTGTCAAACACCCGTATCCTGTGGTAGTGGACACCTGACTGTCTCCTCCAGTGTATGTGCAGGCTGCCATTGAGAAGGACCGGCGCGCCAAAGATGGATGGTTCCTCGGCCAAAACCTCTGTTAACGGACAATCGACGCGCCATGAATTGTTGGTTCCCACCGTGAGCATGTAATACTCCTGCCGACAGATTAACTCCATAGAGTTGTTTCTCCAGTACATCACACGGAACTCCCCTGAAGGTTGGTGCCGGAAGAGGGCGATGAGATTTTCTATGCGCTTGGCGTCCTGCCGTAGGGTAGCCCGCTCTCGCGTGGCCGGGTTGCAGATGATGTAGTTGAAGACGACGAAAAGGCCGTCGCAGGAGGCGCTGATGGCGAAAGAGCCACCGAATGGGAACTGGAAAGAGGGGCCGAGCTTCGCGGACCGGAGGTGGATGGCGTTGAGGCGGGATTCAAGGCCGCGGCCGGACACGTCGGAGATCCGGCAGGACCTGATCAGGGGAAGCGCCGGCTGGCGGCGGTGGTGGTCGAGGAGGAAGGCGGGGTCGGACGCGAGGCTGCGCCAGGACCGGCAGACGGCGCGGCAGCGGAGCACGGACTTGGCCGGGAGGCGGGGCAGGATCTCCTGCTGCAGGATCTCATCGGGGATGCCGGCGAGCCGGTGCCGGTCCGACCTTGCCCTGCTTCTCCTCCTCGGCGAGGCCGTCCGCCCCGGTTCTTCCTGGGCGACCAGGCGCCGCCCAGAACGGAGGAGCATCGGCGAAGTGGTTTTGGTGGAGTCGAGGAGAGTGGAGACGGGATCAGCGGCGGCGCCCGGCAGGCCCAAGCGGAAATGGAATTGGAAACCCTAGACGGAGTACTACTCTGACAAATGGGTCCACTGAAGCGTGTGCGCCCGCTGTACGCACCTACACCCTTGCAAACTCATCAGCATCCCCATTGCAAAAAAAAACACATCAGCGCCTAAGGAATTGAGGATGTTTTTTTTAATAATAATTGTTTAAAAGAAAATTAAGAATTGTGATCCTCAATTTGGTAAATTTCACATATGCAACCTTAGAGCATCTCTAGCAGATCCTGTCGCGGCACCACAAATTTTCGTTTTAGGAATCCTGCAAAATGAATTTATGGTACCGCGGAACGCCCGGCAGAACAGATCCGATATACAAATACTGCATAATTTAAACTTAAACTCCATGTCACCATAGTTCGCCGGAGTTCATGAGACACAAGCTTAAAAACATAGTATAGATAAACCTAACTCTAAACTACTCTAGGGGTTGACATTGATCAGGTAGTACTTAGCGGAGCGGTAGAGACTACACGCGAGCTGGTACCCCTCCTTGGCCACCTCGAGCCGCACAGCGGCGCCCTCTTCTCCTGCCTCGAACGCCTCTTTTGCCACGTGGAGCTCGATCTTTGCCTCGCGGAGACCCTTGCTGGTCGGCCAAAGGCTCTCCTCGATCTCATCGAACTTGCTCCATGCCCTCCGTCCACTGTTGCGGGAGAGGGCGCGACGCTCCCTGGCCTACTTCAAGCGCCATGCCTCAATCGGGTTGCTGGAGCTGCCGGCCTCAGCGTCGTGGCGGGCTCGCTTGTATGGTGGTGAGCCGTCGCGGCCCCCCACGACCTCTGCTCGAAAAGGGGTTGTGCGTGTGAGAAATGGTCACCGGAGTGGAGGGATATGCGACGGAGGCAGGTCCGCTTGGCAGAGGGATTGTTGGTGTAGTTCCCACCACCGCCGCCATTGTCATTGTTGCCCCCGTTCACACGGTTTGGTGGGTTGGGCGGCTTGGGGAAGTTGCCACGGGCGCGATCACCACTGCCTCTAGTCTGTTTGTTGGGGAAGTTACGGCCGCGGTCACCACCGCCGCCATTGTTCTTGTTGAAGCGGCCGCGAGTTGCGGCGTTTGCAGATGACCGGGAGGATCCGCCGCGCAGACTCATGTGAGTCTCGAAGCTCAACATCTGTGAATACAGCTCCGGGACAGTGACCGGTTCGACCCTGGAGCACATGGCCGAGACCACGGGGTCGAACTCCTCGTCAAGTCCAGCAAGGATGTGAGAGACAACATCTTCTTCATCGACCTTCTTCCCTGAAGCCATTAGTTCATCACACAAAGCTCTAATCTTACCAACGTAATTAGGGATGTTGTTGTTGCCCTTCTGAAGATTCGCCAATGCGATCCGGACATTGACTGTACTTTCAGGCGTGTGTGATGCGAGCATGCCTTGCACCGTGTTCCGCAGCTCTGCTGCGGTGTGGCATGTAGCCACCTGAATTGCCATCTTGCGCGGGAAAGAGGTCAGCGGGTAAGAGAACACATGTTGATCCCTCGCGTACCACGTGGAAAACTCCGGATTGGGAGCTTTGGACTTGGTCTTGCCGTCGGCGCCGGTGACCTCAATGGTCTGGGGCGGCACCGGCTGCTCGACTTCGAGGAACTCTGCCATCCGAGCCCCCCTGATTGCCGAGAGAACGGTGGCACACAATAGAGCTTCGTTACCTCTCGTAAGCTTATCTATTGCGGCGTGCACAAATGGAGAGGATAGCAAGGAAGTGGAAGAGCTTGTCATGGATGATGTCGAGGCCTGCTCTGATTACCATGAAAGAATCTGGTGGGAGCGTATACCTCTCTGGCAGGGACGCGTACGTGTTAAATAGCCATCACAAGATACAGGGGTCGGCCGGTGATTACTAGACTTGACCTCTACTCCAAGCTAAACACAAGGAGATAAAGATCTATCTAGCCTAACCACCTGCCATGTACAACAAGTCACACGCATACACCACAATGTTTACAAGTTGACACGACACAACAAGCCTATCGTCTAACACAACCATTCCAATGTTCATCCTTGTTCTTGTCGTCCATTCAGTTCAAGATGTCCCAGCGATGCCTCTACTGCTCTGTGTCCTTGGCACCTGAGAGTGCGGTCATCTACTTCTGCTAGTTGTGCTTTATCTCTGTATCTCTAGTTACTAGCTTTGCGATGTGTTGTAAATGGTGCAGAGTGCCCCCTTGTATCTTTTTTCGCGAAATACGCAAAGCTTGCGTACCATTCCATTGATAGAAGAAGTTAACAGTGAGTACAGGGGGTACGACACATGACACGAATGCAAGAGGTGTGAACATGGTGACCGGAGCAGAGAAACATGGAATGCTCAACCCAAAGAAGAAAAAACACGCCTAAACTCGCCACACTGGGACGCAACCCAAACCAAACCAACAAGACGATTGACATCTTCGAATCTACCGCCGAGGACACCGCGAGCAAAATAGTACGGCGCCTTCACGAAGGAGAACGACGCCGGGGTGCCGTCACCGTCTGATCCGCAAAACCGGATCTAGGGTTTCCCTTGATGCTCGAAGATATCCCTTGTATCTTTCAGGTGTTTCGTGTTGTTTCTTGTCGTGTGTTCGTATTTCGTTCGTGTAAGCATGGCTGGTTGATGGCTTTGTTAATTCAAAGCCGGATTAGGTCCAAACCTACTTCAGACTCAGGCTGAGCCTTTTCTCTAAAAAAAGAGGAGTCGCACCCAACTACTGTCCTTTTCGTTTTGGAACAGGCACCCATGTCTTAGATTGTATCCCTCTCTTGTTCTGCCCTAAACCTTCTTTTTCTCAATTTCTATCTGAATCAGCCCCAGTTACTTGTGTCGTTTGTAGTATCTACTAAGAAGCCCCCCGCCCCGTACCACAACGTTTCAACTTTTCACTTGGGGCAATATACAGCAGAACCCTAGTAACATAGGCTGATAAACAAACACACAACACATGTATGGCAAAAGAGGACCATAGCATGGCAGTGCGCCAGTGCCTAAACCTTTAACATAAGTTGATAAACAGGAGAGGTGAACAATAACACAACATTTAGTCCCAGGTAAGTTGAGCTGGGCGAACAGGACAGTTGAACATAACTGTAGCAGAGGACACCTACACATAGGTGCAGCAATTGAAGTACTCAAACATCACCAGTGCGTCGAACTTTCACATGAGTTGATAAACAGGAAAGGTGAACAACAACGACGACGACACAACTATGACGACAACAACAACGACAACCACGACGACAACAACAACAACAAGAACGACAACGTCAACGACAACAACAACAACAACAACAACGAGGATGACGACAACCACGATGACAAGAGCAACCACAAGAACGACAACGTCAACGACAACGACAACAACAACAACAAAGCCTTTTGTCCCAAGCAAGTTGGGGCAGGTGAACATACGGATCAACCTTCTCATCTCCTATAGACATATGTGCACCAATTGAGGTACTCAAGCATCGCCTGAAAGAAGCAAAATAGAGCCAGAGTAAGAATCAGGTTCACTAAGTTAAACAAGATGAATGTGTTGAAGCTTAAAAGCCTTGAAGTCAAATTTGTATCCATGGACAGTTTAGGTCTATGTAGGGGGGTAAGCTTAAAGCAAGATATTCATACAGTGGGAGGATATCTCACTGAGGTTGCAGCACCAATTGTAAACAACTGAAATAAATATATTTCTTAAATAACAGTAACCCAACATTCAAATATCAATAAAATAGTCAACGAAGCATCTCAACAGTGGGATTGAATAGACGGCTCGAATAAGAGTTCACACTGCTGCCCGCCCTGAACCAAACACCTGAACAGTAGGAGTGGGACACAGGTCGCGGTACTATTTCCTATTCCTAACCCTTTATTTCCTTTATTGGTCTATATATCTGCGTTTAAGGAGCTGACACAAAAGAGGCATCAACCCGCATGAGACTCAGATTAATGATAACGGAATTAATCCATCGAATTTGTCAGTCTTGCAAATTACTTGAAGCGTACAGTCTAGACGGAACAACCACCTTGTTTATAACTATAATAGTGCACCCGGTGATCCATGTGTTCCCACATAACAATTTAGTGAAAGCTTCAAAGCTAAGGTTAGCTTCATACATCTTGAACGGCAAAGTAACAGACAGAAATTCTGAATGTGCAAAACACAAAAGATATAATCATTTGTTTATATGAATAAAATGTACTCGCTCCATCCCATAATGTAAGACGTTCTTTAACTCTAGTGTAATTTCAAAAAACGTTTTACATTACGGGACAGAGGGAGTAGATGTGTCTGTAATCACAAACAGATGCGTGTCTTCCATAAAAAATCATATGAGTTCGCAACAACAACATAAACTGAATGTATCAATTTTTGGGCTGATATGAATCAGTGAATATGGGGATATGTAGACCTCAGCGGTACGATCAAAATCAGAAGATACAAAATGAACAGACTACCCATTATCTATAAATCCAAAGTCAATTTCGAAGTTTTGATATTTCCAATATTGCTAAGCAAGAAAGTTGCAATAAATCGACTTTATTGTTGTAATGGTCCAGCAGGTTTCATCCCAAATAAATGGTTGCGAACTATTGGCTGCTTCTATAATTAGATGACAGCTATAAATCTCACTAAAAGAGTGAATGATACCACAGAAAGCTCTTGCATGAAAAAAAATCTTAGTAATAATTAAGATTCATCTGGTTGACGTGTTCGGACTACCTCACCGTTATCCTGAACAGACGGCAATCGATAAATCATAATAATAAACATTTATAAGCTTACAACCGAAAGACCATTTCTTTCCAGGGAAACCCATACACCTTTATAAATACACACAAAAAGATATTATTGGTTCACAGCACAATGACATAGGTTCAAATTGTGCCACTAACAAATAAAGATAATAACTCAGTGAAAACAGACT